GCCCCCCCCCCCACCTGTTGTACCACCAGCCCGGTTTACCACCAGTTTTTACCGATGTACGAAAAGGAATGCCTACATAAACATAGTATTTTTGCGTCTTTACACTGCCATCCACCAACTGTCTGAATTGTATGGTCCTTCTCAAACTAATGTAAATTCACCCTGACAATATCATAAAGTTTCAGAGTCCAATCTTGAGTAGGTTTTTTTTTCTTAATTTTCTTAATGCTCAAAAATGCTTGGCAGTGGGAAAGACAAGCCTCATAACAGCCCGGTAGCATAAGTGTTAAATTCAATATATGGGAACTGGCTGCCAGAAGTACACGGCACATGGTACTCATAGGGGGGCTGCTTGATAATCTTTTTCCCACCCATGTCTCTGTAAGCTTGGCATTTTCTCACATTTTCCGTCGATTTGCTTCTGTTTATGGAAATGCTATTATTTTTAGGCTTTGGAAAATACTTTAAAAAGAAATTGGAATTAAATTTTAAGGTTGCTTGGAGAATCTTCGAAGGACTTGCGCCACTTTGGCCTGTCGTCAAATTATCTGGTGTTGCCAGACATCAGCCCAATGAACAATAGGTTGGCAGGCGCCTGTGTACCTTTTATACCGTGAGGACTGGTGCTCGAGACTATGTAGAAGGTGGCTCAAAGACTGAAGAGTATTGAGTAGAAATTATACTATGGATGTCTACCTTAGCTTGTGATCCGGGAGACATTTTCAATTTGAAGTTACCTGAAGTTCAGCTGGAGCTGTACATGGTACATGTATTGGTTGCTACTCGTTTTTCCCCCTTGCGACGCATGGTTGTCGCACAAGACAGAAAGATTAATTAAGACTGGCCACAGTTTGTCTCTGTAGTCTTTACCAGTCTACCACTAGTCAAGATGGCAATGGGTGCTATACCGTTAAACCGCCAGTCCTACTGTACTGCCAACTTCATGTTTCTCCCAAGGTTGGCGGTACAATGGGGTTTGACTGTATTTGAAAAAAATGCTCCCCATTCGACATCGAACTCGGGTCTTCTGCATTTGACAGGGAAGTGTCTAACCGCTATACGACAGAGCCAGGCCTATAGAGAGAAAAAGGTGAATGGAGTGGAAATAGTTTTAAAAAATAATTATTGTGCTTAAAATTAACTCTTTACAAATTACATGTATTTATTTCAAATTTTAGTGAATTTCTCAGGAAGATTATATAGGTTATGGGAAACTTAGAGTTCAAAAGCTGGGATAAACGTGCTAGATTTATTATCTGTGTATGAAACAGGTATTTCTCAACAACTTCAATTTTGGACATTTGGTTTTAAAAGTTGTTTTTATGAAACATATTGCTTTTTTACAAGATTTCTATACATGCTTATGAAACACCTATTCCATTATTACTGTTGATGAAACCTGAAATCTACAGCACTACAGCACTTCTAATTATGTTATCAGCATATATTGGATTTAACACTTACACTGCCGGGCTGTTATGAGGCTTGTCTTTCCCACTGCCAAGCATTTTTGAGCATTAAGAAAATTAAGAAAAAAAACCTACTCCAGATTGGACTCTGAAACTTTATGATATTGTTGGGTGCTAAATGGGCTCTGAAATTTTGACGTTTTGTTGACCTGGAATCACCTGACCTTGGTGGCCATCTTGGATTTGACCATTTCTTATATTAATTAAAAAAGGGGGTGCCTACTCAAAACAATCTTTTAGGGGGACTACAAAATATGACTGGGGTAGACAATTATATGTGTTATTATATGTAAGATGATATGCCAGTGTTAGTTTTGTGATACTGAGTGTGAATGCTTTACCTTTGTTTCCTGTGAATTTTATTATCATGCAAATTCCTTGCTTGCAACAATAAAATACTATGAAATTTCTACAAAAAGCCTGCGTCTTTTTCATATCATAGCTTATTTTATGTAACAACATCCACATTCACAATGACCTGCCTATGTCTTGAGCAGTTAAAAAAAAGATTCCAGCTTCACTACCTATCAAGTGTTGCACCAGTAGGCCTGTTGGTAGGGACACACTTTCTTTTACTCTGGGGTTGACGCCCATTACCTGCACCTCTACCAACAATGTCGCCATAATGATAAACCTTCTTGTCCTCGCATCAATCACCTGTCTCAGAAACCTCTTCTGAATCATTACTTTCATTATCTGTCTCTAAAATATCAGAATCAGAGTCATTTTGGGTCATAATATAGTCTGGTTCGTCATCCATTCTGAAAACTTTTTCGACCTGAAGACGCTAAAATAATTCATTTACAAAGGCAAAAACTCGCCCCAAAACCTGAGATCGGGTGCAAACCATTCAAGAAAGTTACTTTCGGTTTCTCTCAAGCACCGGATGTTGTCAATTTTATACTATTGAGGTGTTATGGCACCGACAACAGACGATGAAATAATACCCCAATGCAGATGTCTCTGATCGCCTGTGGTAGGTTAAGGAGAAAATTTCAGGACGGCACGGATCGTCGATGGCAGCGTAAGTGTTCAAGTGAATGATTTTTGTAGACTTCATCATCATAGAAAGCAACACACATCAGCACAAGACGAACAGCAACTGACAAGAATGCAGAGGCCAAAATGACAATCAGAGATTTAAACTTAACTACATGAGAAAAAGGTGCACCTGGAACCATAGCTGTGTAAACAAGTATTTTAGTTAATTAAGAGTTTTACAGCACTTGCAACACAATAACAAGAAAGTAACAAACACAAAAAAGAAGGAGGAGAGATCAGGGCGATAGATGATTGATAGGAAAGAAGGAGCAAACCACACCAGAGCACCCGCCAACCACCCTAACAAGTATTTAAACAGAAGTAAAACAACAAAAGATAAATAGAAGAATACAAGTAACTGCAGTCTATATTTTCACAGTTTATTCACTTTTATAACGTTCATAAAAGTTTACTGAAAAATGAAACGACAATCCATTCCAGTCATTCTTTCAAATGGAACCAAAGGACAAGCACTGCTATTTGCTAATGGACTCTGACCATCTGACCAAAGCAAAAATACAATACATTTCTAGCCTGACAACATTCCCTGACAGGTAGGAGATTTCAGTGCCATTATAATGAGCCACTGGACTTTACCTGTGCCTATAAGGTAAAACAACTCGAGCCATGTGTCTGTCCCAATTTGACACAGGCTTATTTCACAGGAAACACGACTGTCTGATTCACATCTCTATAAATATTTCAATTGCTTTATATTTTACTTCCTTTTCTTATTTTTGGTATGTATGTACTGGAGATGCAAGTCACCAACAGGAAGCAAAGTGTTTCACAGAGTCTGAGAGCTATTCTCAAGTAATTCTTTTGCTTTTTTAGATATGCACATGATGCAGTGTAGGGTAGCCTAAAATTTTCCAAAATAAAAAAATCCCCATTTTATTTATTTTTGACACCTCAGACTTAGCCAGCGTGTGCCTGGATTCATGGACAAAAAACACAAGAGTGTAATCTCACAACATTGCAAGCAAGAAGTTCATAAAATTATACAGATCACATTTGCCCCTGTCATCAATTTAAGTGTGATTTAGGAAGTATTTCATATACCCAACAAACAGACATGTACCAAACAGATCTCTTTTTGCACCAATCAATTTTCAAGAAAATTAATCAAAATAAGTCTAAATAATATTGTGAAATCAATAATTATTTAAAAAAACAAAGTATGGGATGTCACTTACAATCATATTCACAAACACATCGACCAAAGACCCTGAAAACTAAGATTTTTTTGCATCCTTAGCATCTTTCTTGTCCTTTGCACCTTCTTTCTTGTCCTTGTCTCCTTCACCAGTTGACTTCTCATCAGCCTTCTCTTTATCCTTCTTCTCCTTGCTGGAATCTTTGCCTTCATTTTTCTCAGCATCACGATTTTGTACCTGAAACAAAAGTTTGAATAAGTACACAAAATTGATCAATCAATTAGTTTCTAAACTTCAAAGCTCACAAAATTAATTTTAAAAAAAATTGTAGGTGTTTTTACACCCCCATTGGCATAATTTAGATCATTTAGGAGGCAGGATTCCTGTCAGGGCCAACCTAGACTGAGAGGGATACAATATCCCAGAAGACAGACAGAGATATTCTATATATTGAACACGGGTCTCCAGTGTAAAGCAATAAAGCATCTAACTGCTACACCACAGACGCCAGTTCACCAAATGTGTAAGTGATACGGTGAATCGAACATCCAGTAATAATGATTTTAAAAAATAAGAGAAAGAATACTCCTCACTGTAAAAAAACCCCCAACTCGTTAACATCTACAACAATACTGCCATAAGCTGACAAAACGCCTTTTTTCATTTTTGGCGCCAAATGTCTTTATATTTGCTAAATCGAAGGCCTGATCGGTTACCCACCTTGTGTGAAAAAAATCAAAAGAGAAGCTGTGACTAGTTTTTGAATAAATTAAAATTAAAATTTCGGATAACACTTTTTTAATCATTATGCTGACAAAAAGCCTTTATCTCGAAACTGCAGTGAATTTTAAAAAAGGCATTTTGTCAGCTTGCAGCAGAATACATCTTGCATGGAAGGAACCCCTGAAAAAACCCCAACAACTTCAGACTCGGTGAGAGAGCATAAGTAAGCAGCCTTCTATAGCTTTTATGAAGTCTTGATAAGAAAGACTGTCAAAAGTGTCCAACAATATCTCTTTGTCAGTCAGTGGATGTTGAAAAATTATCAAGATTAATAAAAATCTAAGCTTTTAGTATTAAAAAAAACGTGATACTTTATTAAGGTTAAGGTGATATGCTCTTTCTTCTACTTTTATGAATACAGCTCATGAAAGTTGTACAGCTAAAAACAAGCAACTATAGATGAGGCAACAGCTATATTTTACCTTGTTGTTGATGAGGTTGTGCAGAGCCATGATGGAGCGTACTAATGAGGCGAGGTAGACGACGCTCATCTGATCATTGGTGCTCACTGTGAGGGAGTGAACCAGCTCCGGTACACCCACGTCGGGTAACAAGTTGAAGACATCCTTCGGAAACACAAATAATACAAACTCCAATTAAATAGCAATAGGGTGCGGAAAAAACTCAGGAATTATGATCTGGGTTTTATTTATAAAGTAAATTTCAAGTCCTTTGTAGTGCTTATCCTGCATTATGCTACAGGAAAGAAGTTTTTCTAAAGTTTCTTCATGCACTCACCATTGTTTTAACTCACTCGCTGGAGACTGGGCATTTTTCAGGTCTTCATGCACTGGAGACTGGCATTTTTGGGGGTAGTTCAATATGTGAGCGGCTCTGAGAAAACCCGTCGGAAGGTGCGAGAAGCTATTCTGAGATATCGCTAAAAATAGGCCCTGAACTTCATTTTTATCGAAAACGAAATTATATGAAATTCGGAAAGATAGACCATTTCTACATCATATGTTTTAAGAAATTTGCTCAAAAGTGATTGAAAATATGTTAAAATAATTATTTTTGAAGACATATCGTCGTCGTATTACGCTGAATTCTTAGACAAACAGGGGGAATATTTACTCAATCGGATAGACACTTCTTTCCACGGGAACCCTCACATATTATATACCCATAGAATTCTACACTTAGTGTAGAATTCTGTGTATATACCAAAAGAAAGAGAATTTTATTGCCGTTTCGGGAAAACCCAGTGTGCATGAATGTGTGAACATACAAATAGTTCTGTGAGTTGCGCATGTTGTAGTTTCACTTTTGAAATGGTATTTGTCATGAATGCAGTTTAACATCTAATGTACCATTTCCTGCCGTTCAAACCAAATATGAACTGTTTGTTATTGACTTTAAGTTCTTTGTTCTGCTCTACGAAGCGTTTTTTTCCGAGTTTACTGTAAGTAAACTGATTGTTTTCTGTTTCCAAGTGGTCGAGCGCTTTTGTTTACATAATTTAATTGATTCAAGATGGCGGACCGATCAGCTGAGTGGCGTATTTCATCGATGTGGAACGATCTCGAACGATCTCAGTCGGATTGGAATGAGACAAATCACAGACGAAAATGAATTGGATGAACTGATTATTGATTAGTGTGGAGACACATGATGAACGAATTACGACGACGACCGTGGCCATGACACACCCACACCCCCTGCTCATGACCATGATCTGGAATCTGGAACTTCATGAAGAAGAAGTCCTGGTTCCTGTTCAACCAATTGGCATAGCATCATCAGAAGGTAAGCAAGGTTTACCATACCCGCAGTCCCAGCTTCTATACTAGTCCTTATAACTGATAATTATCAGCTAGATTAAAGAACTGCGTATTCTTCTAGATTCTATCCTACCTCTAGCAGTGTATTAGAATTGGAGGAGCTAGATCTAGATATCTAGATCTAGATCGACTAGATCTATCACTATACGGTAGCTTAACTCTTGGAACGAGACCAAGTCTGTCAACGTTATTATAGACTTAGATCAAGATTGTACTAGACTAGACTAGACTAACTAGACACTTGACTAGATCTAGACTTATTACTTTTCTAGATCTGGACTCCTATGACACTTAACTTAAGACTCTTGATGAAAGTTACTCGAGCCTGCAGCTGTTGTTTAGATCCCTGTCGCTTACTATCTGTATGAAGCAAGTCTCACTGCAGTGTGTGTTGAGATCTAGATCTAGATGACATTATAGTGTGTTGTTTTAAACTTTATACACCAAGTCACCAGACACATTGTTGACTGTGCCTAGATCTAAGACTAAATAAATCCAGGGCCAGTTGTGTATCTCTGTAAACAGTATTTTTCTAGACGTGTGGAGATGATCCAGTGCACACTACACAGATAAATTCTTGTTGATCTCTTCAGTTTTATTTCATTGTACATACTATTTTCATTGATCTCTTAGGTGCACTTGCTGGCCCAGGACCTTCGCAGCCCCCCTCCCATGCTCCCAGTGAAGCAGATCCAGAGTCTCTGACTGCTGTGCTCTACAACAACAAAGTGATGCTGACCAGTCCAGTATTGCTGAAGGTAATGCCTCTCTCAATGGAATTGAATAATAGACTAGGGCTACTACTACTACAATTTATATTGGTGCTAACACCTGCTTTAAATTTCTTGATTCATTTACAAAGCAGAAAATAATCGATCTTACATACTTTTTAGCTTTAATTATTCGACTTGAAAAGAACCATGAGAGATGCTGCACCACACTAATTTGTATTGTTGAAGGTGATGCCTCTCAATTAAATTAAATATTATAGCATTATAGTTCAGTGTGATGCTGACTCTTGCTTTAAATTTTAAAATTCCTTTACAAAGAAGAAATATATCTATTCTGAATACATACTCTTTAATTATTTGACTTGAAAAGAACCAAGAAAAGAGAGATGCTGCACTATCGCAGTGATGATCTGTCACAAACTTGTCGTCACATGAAAGTGAATTTCTTATACTGAGTAGGTCCATATATAAAAATACAGCGATGCAAAACGAAAACAAGAGGTGACAGAATGATGGACAAAAATTCTGGCTTCTTGTTGCAGCCTGTCAACTGTAAAGGGATCACGGAGCAAATTATTCTCAATTGGTGATCATTAATCACTGGTTTGTTTGAACTAATAGTGGTCATTTAAATACAGTGGTGCACAACACTATAAATTTCATTATGCAAGCTGCACACCTTTAAATCGCTCTCTTTTAATTTCTGTATCTACAGACGAGGATGATGCCTTAGGGGTGACCTTCATAGAGAACGGGACAGTAACAGCCTTTGTGGTGCCAGAAGGTAAGGGTGTGGAGCAGACAGCTTTGCGAAGTTGAAGGGCCTGAAGTGCTTCTGCAAGCTCAATGATGGCCTGCCTTGCAACAGCCAGTTCGAATCAACTGCTTTTGACGACCTGCCTTTGTCTTTTGCTGGTATGACACGAGAGGAGCATAATATTTTTTTGACGCGTTTTTACGTAATTCAATGATTTACTGTTGTAACATAAAAACAGTCATAACTTCACATAGAAGAGAGGTATTTCACTAAAATAAAAAGCAAACTGTCCACAAATGGCACCTCTATGCTATCGGTTGACCATCGGAAAGACACATTTATCCGACATCGTTCTGATATTGGGTGACCATCGGTTTCCGATAGTGTGTGGAACCCGACATCGTCCTGATGATGGGTTGTAATCGGTTTCCGACGGTGTGTCGATATCCATCATCGCGCCGATGGCGGGTTGACATCGGAACCCGATGGTAAGTCGGTGTCCATCATCGTGCCGATGGCGGGTTGTCATCGGATACCCGATGGTAAGTCGGTGTCCATCATCGTGCCGATGGCGGGTTGTCATCGGATACCGATGGTAAGTCGGTGTCCATCATCGCGCCGATGGCGGGTTGTCATCGGATACCGATGGTAAGTCGGTGTCCATCATCGCGCCGATGGCGGGTTGTCATCGGATACCGATGGTAAGTCGGTGTCCATCATCGCGCCGATGGTGGGTTGTCATCGGAAACCGATGGTAAGTCGGAGTCCATCATCGCGACTAACTTTCCTTTCCGCTCGATAACTCAAAAAGTTTCCTGCCAGTTCCGGTGAAACTTTATATGAAATGAAACAAAGGTCGGCTGCATGGAAAGAGGTGGTTCACGCAGCGTTTGTGAGTATACTTTACCGAAGAAAAAATGAGAAACTTGCATGAACTGCCTCTCGGGAAAATATCGAAGCTCGCAAATACTGCGTGAAACGTTTCCAGTGAGTTAAGTATGAAGCAAGGGGAACATGTTTGTAATATATAGAGTACGACTGTCAAAAACTGTTTTTCCACTGGTCTGGAAGTGAAGAAAAGGTGTCTCTGATACAACATAACAAATGATGCAGCATCCTATAATTCCTTCAATAACAATGGGTCTAAGAGAAACTATTTTAATAACTCAACAGACAATTCATAAAACTATTTAAAAAATAGCTAGCACACCCGTAAGTATATATTGAGCAAAAATCTTAAATGACCCTAAAGCAGGTAAAAAATAAATAAAATCAATATTACTTCCAGCTGCTCAGCACATTAGATTAGACTACGATACTCTATGATTCCACCATGCACTGCACTAACTGACCTGAAGCTGATAGATGATCTGGTGATTGATGGGCAGCCGACCCTCAGCGACACTCTTCAGGTAGCTGCTTATGTCGTTCATGTGAGAGTGCAGGCCCTTGAGGCCCATGAGCTGGGCAGTGATCTGTTGGGAGAGGGTGCCCACTGTGGTGTCCTTGATGTCTCTGTGAGAAAACAAAAGTAAAAACAGTCAGTGTAAGTGCTGCCATGCTTCAAACTGATAGGGAAAAAATGTCGAACTGAAAAGAAGAAGCAGACAAAACCAGGGCATGCACTGGCACTGAAAACCCATAACACTGCCAACTTCAAGCTTGTCCCAATGTTGGCAGTAAAATGAGGCTTAATATGAGTTTTGTATGAAATTTCATTCTACCTAAAAAAAAAGGCTTTTTTTTGGGGGGGGGGGGGGGGGGGGCACAGATTTTCACATAGAACAGATGAGAAATGTAGACTGAGAGTATGGATTGACATGCTTGACCCTGAGGAGCCGTTGTGTGTCAGATTATACCTGAAAAACTTGTGAAGCTCAGATTGACATCTTCTCTGACTGTCTGCCAAGTTTCAAGACTACGTCATCATCTTTATATTCAAGATTTAAGTACAAACAGTGTATTATCGGTCCATACCACCAGCACACGATAGCACAGCACGCTGGCTCTCATTTGCCTAGTGCGGCAATGATAGGGAACAGCTTAACTTATAAAAATGAAGAAATTCTACCACTAACTGAATGCCATCTCTTTGGAAACTGAACACATCATGAGCCAGGTACCCCTTTCATCAAATGATCCACTAAAGTTTAAAAAATATCAAAGTATATTCCGAGTTTTAAATTATCACTTCAGAAAAAGTAATAATGATAATAGATAGCGTTTGTATAGCGCATATCCCCGCTCATCAGCAGGCTCTATGCGCTTTACACTATATTATTACCCCAGCAGACCATAAAACACTCCGAAACATTCTCAGCTTCCCGGGAAGTAGTAGTAGTAGCAAATTAATCACCAAGTATTTTTGGTCAGCTTAGCATGCTCTGCACATCTGTAATTTTGACTCTTCACTCCAACTGACATCAACAGCTATGAGTTACACACTCCAATAAGCACATTCGCATGCTTCAAACATGAGCAAAACCGTAATATTTCACGATGTTCTTTAAAAAACCCTGGCAACACATTTCATACCTCAGCAAATGTTCCACTCCAACCTCCTCAGCCTCTTCAGCACCGATTTCACTTGGAACATGATCAAATGTTTTGGTAGTGGGGGTACCATCCTGAGGACAGAGTCCAGCAAAGTTTCTTAATCTAAAATAAAATTCTCATTTCAGGGAGGAACAGCATCACTATTTTCTATACAATGTCACTTTCTGCAGTATATAATAATAAGTGTTATAAGAGACACTGCTTGACCGTCCACAATTGGAGCATTACAAACAAAAAACAAAAAAACATACACTTCGTTGAAGAGAAGTATTGTTCATCAGCTGAATAACAACCAGTTCTACCAGTGACACACTGAGATCAACCCGTGTGAGATCTCAAATCATAAAGGGAACAAAACATTTCACATCTTTCTATAAAACCAGTCAAAATGCACTTTTCATACATCAAAATAAATTCCCAGAATAATTATTTTCGCAAATCAAAAAGAAATGAATTGGCAACAGTAATATTTTCATACGATAAAGGCTGCATTCACAAAACAAAAATTGTGTGAGGATTTTTGTCAGATTCATTCGATTCATTGACGCATAGATTAAAGTTTAAAAGTCATACTCAATCCAATCCAGGTCAGTTTTAAAGTATAGTTCTTGATCTCTCATTAGGGCATTGGGCTATGAGGAATGTCCCCAGGAAGGGCCCCACTTAGATTCCAACTTTGCACTTCTTTACTTCAATGACTCATTCAGCAGTCACAAATGAACATCCATCAGGAAAGACTAGCCGGTAAACAAAATAAATAGGCAAACAAGAGTGGCTCCAGTACTCACATCGTGCACCTCTTCCACAGAGATGTAGGCCTCTGTGGGCAGACCCAGCTCTTTGGGCTTGGCATCAATCACCACCAGAATCTTTGGAAAAAAAGAATAGACAAAACATTTTAAAAAGATCAATATGAACTGCATTTCGTCTTCGTAAGTGTTTTACGGCACTTGCAACACAATAAGGTCATATAAGCGCCGTAGAATAGAGACGTTACAAGAGAGTAACTAACACAAAAAAAGAGGAGGAGAGAAAAAGATGATAGATGTTTGATAGGAAAGAAGGAGCAAACCACACCAGAGCACCCTCCAACCATCCACATATGAACTGCATGATAACCACAAAATTATGATCATCATAGAAATAGGTATATTGTAAAATGATCTCAATGTCTGAAATCGATGAAAGTAATGGAAGTACAGACAGATTAAAACAGTGGGACTCACACATAGACAAAGGGAATTGTGCGTGCCTTCCGGATAGTCTTTCAAGGTACAGCACAGCGTCAGAAATAAATGAACTGGCCAGACCAACTCAAAGTGCATGTCAAGTCTGACGTAAATTCTCCTGATCATTGTTGAGGTTTTTTCTCACATCCTCTTAGCCTCCAACTGCTTAATTCTGGGGTCTTCGTGGGGTCTATTGGCTTACCCAAGTCTGACTTTTACTTCATTAAAAGTGATGAGGTACTTGTACCAAAACTCCAGGAGATTCCTAGCTATCATAAAGACAAGTTTCCAGATTTTAAAAAGTAAAGAAAAAAATCGTTATTGTGGGTGTTTTTACATCCCAATCGACACAATTTAAATCATTTAGGAGGCCAGCTTCGACTCTTCCTGTCCAAGCAGAAAGACTGGAAAGCTTGAAAAAAATTATCCCTACAAGTGAATTGAATTCAGGTCTCCTGTATTGGACAGTGAAGTGCCTAACTGCTACATCAGAGAATCAGTTGTTTTCAGTATTCAAGATAAAAATAACCCCCCAAAAAATGTGTCTTACTGAATTTGAGTTGTATCTTCGGATCATTTCATTAATGGCAATATCGTTAGGATGAAGCTTGGGTCCTGTGTGGTACCAACCAACAATTCTTTCTTTTGCTGAAAGAAAAAAAGAAAAAGAAGGAAAATCATCAATCCATTCTATCCTCAGCTTTTAATTTATTAACTCTTTCAAACTAACACTGTAATAGAATCAGAAATCTTTAAAGTAAGAAAAAAATTGAGCAGATAAAACAAAGAACTAGTTAATCTGCAAGCTATTGTTTTGTAAATTTACCTTGAAGGAGTCACAAGGAGTACAAGGCAGAATGAGGTACAGTAATCTCCGCCTTAGATCCCTGTGCTAAGGAGCAAGGAAATTGCCTGATCTTAGTCGAACAGGATCTTAGCCGACGGACCAAGGGAAGAATCAACGGTGACCCATGTTAAGGTCCACAACCGGTAAAATGGTTTTTTTCTACTCTAAAATGAATTGATGAGACTCCTGGGTGGGTTTATGACATATGGGGAGCAAAGAGTGGTCCACCTCGATGACCAATCAGTGGCATGAGGCATGTTATTTACACTTATTATCTTATCGTGAGTGTAAAGATTTACGCTTATCCCCCCCCCACCTGTCCAAAATTTATAGCTTTCCATCTCTGACCGAGTTTCCCCACCTTTGCCGTTACCCACTGTTACATTGTGACCACACCAATTAAAATTCAGTCTGTCTCACAAATTCGGGAGTTGAGATAACTGCTGCAAAGGTCTGGAAAGAGTTCACAGTTCGATGTGATCCCGCCTGGAGCGAACTTGTAGGCCATACCCACCCAGTGAGTGATGAAAGTTTAGGTGGAGAGCTCAGATGCGAGTGTGATGTTTGAGGAAAACAAAAGCATCGGTCAGTTCACACATCAGTGTGATCCCTTACCATTTCATCAAGTTTTACAACATTTATGTGATCATATTCACGGGAGTGGCTGATCTTTGACGCGACAGGCAGTCCAATGATCTCAAATTTTCACGCTTGGTAGATCGGCTGTGCCCGCCCAGGTTTTTGTTTCGTAAATTATGATCCGAAATGCGGGATCTTAGCCGGATGTAGACCATAGATTATCAGAGTGAATCGGAGCGGGACCTTAGGGGTGACTCTTTAGTATGTAGTAAAAATTTTGTTTTCGTAAAACAGCTGGATCTTAAGTGAACCGGGATCGAAAACGATGGGATCTTAGGCAGAGACTGCTGTGTATATCAACAGAGAACAAAATTATTCACATCCAATTGACACTCCTGCCAATAAATAACAATACAGTCCTTCAATTCTTTCAACTTGCTGTTAGTCAGAAACAAAACTTAATTCAATGTACTTACGATACACATTAAATTAATGACAAATTTGACAATCTCTGCAATTAGCTGTGATACTATCAGCCAAGATCTAGACATTTCTATTTAAAACTAAAGTGATAATTTTAAAAAAATCATTTCAACTTTTTTAGAGAAATGCTCTCTCTCTCATCACTTGTTTCTAAAAAACCAGGGCACAATCTGAGTAAACTTACCATTTACTTTCTTGAACATTCCATACATGTTTTCCAGATAATCATGGTCAAGAAACCAAACAGATCTGTCTTTGTCATCCTCATCAAAAGGAACTAGAAGGAAAAAAATATATTAAAAAATAGCAACAACGTGTAATAAAAAAATGAAACCATTATTTCAATCATTCACAAGAATGACAAACGGTAGGTAGTTATACGGATACTAAGTATAAATAATTATAACCATTATAACAAATTCACCTTATGTCCATATTGTTCAATAGTACATTCCCAAAAGATGTTTAGCTAAAAAACTAAAAAGTATACCACCAACCAATCACTGGTCGAGAAAAAAACCCAAAAAAACCCAAGATACAGATCATGGGCTGACAGGTAGAACATTGCTGGCATCAATGGTATACCTCTCTCTCTATATATATAATATTATATATATATAAATGGCTCAAGTCAACAACTGCCGTACCTGAACTGAGAAACTCGCTGCACAACAAGAGTACACCGAAGTAAACTGGGAGGTAAAGAATTCCATCAAGAAGGACAAGAATACTTACCTGAATGGCCCTGCCGAAAAGGCAGAGAAAGAAGCAACAGACAGGCACTTGCGGATTGTACATCAGACAACAAAGACTCTTTCAGGTAGGTTCAGCAAGCCCACTCTACCAGTGAAAGACAAAGAGGGAAAGACTATCTTTAACCCAGAGGGGCAACTGAACCGATGGAGAGAACACCTTGATCAACTATTGAACAGACCACCTCCAGAAAACCAACCGGAATTCTTCCAGCCAGAAATTACCTCCCAATCGCTATGGAACCATCTTCGAGAGAGGAAATTGCTGAAGATATAACAGCACTGAAGTCCCACACAAGGCAGCTGGTCCCGACCATATACCACCGGAAGCCCTTAAGACAGACTTGCTGTTTTCATCAGATCCATGTTCTAGTTCTTGATTCAAACACATATTTGTCATTTTTGTGTGGCATCATCGTGGTGAAATCAGGCACTCGTCAAATATAGTGGAGCCTGCCATGACGGCCACCTGTACAAACGGCCACTTTCCACCCCCCCCCCCCCCTTGCGATTTTAATAAATTTAACTGTGTAAAACGTTCACCTGTCCAACGCTGCTGCGGCCTAATTATTTTATCACCCACGGTCAAATTTACCTGCCTCAGGCGGCCAGGCGTTGTTCACTCATTGCCTGACGCTTTGTCATAAAATTTGAATCGGCCCCTCATGCTGTGGATGGACCGTCATAATTCATTCACTTGTCGTAACTGTTAGTCCTTCCAATGAATGTTTACCCAAGTTGACCAATGGGTAGGCCTAACAATAAATTTTCAACTGCTGATGAGGGAAGCGTGATCCATCATAATCTATGTCCCACCCACAATTCATCATGCACAAATCATGTGAGGTGACTGGTCACTGTTCTGTTTACCTTATACTGTAACAAAGTTTTACAAAGTAACAATGGAACTTGACGTGAACTTGCGACAGAAGCGTCGCTCCTTCTCTGAGTGTTTTAGCATGGCCCTCGATCTTCGTCGTCTTACTTTCAAAATATTTTGCTTATTTTACCCTTGCACAAAATCAGCAACAAAAAGAAAGCCAGCCAAAAAACAAACCAACAACACAAAATACCCTTCTTACACCACCCACTCCCCTTTTTCAAAATTTAAGAAAACAAAAACCCTTTTGAATTTAGCCTACGGCAGTCTAAAGCCTGAGACCTGTCCCGGTTTGAATCTCAGAAGAGAATGATTTGCTTTCTTCATTTTGATCAGCCCTGCTTAAGACGGCCACCTGTGTTATAAGGCCACTTTTTTCCTTGACAATGGGTGGCTGTTTTACACAGGTTTGACTGTAATGAAATTGAAGATACCAGCATTTTTCTGCCAGTTTGACAATTCTTATAATTTTTTAGCTTTTATAATGTCCATTTAAAAACAAATTTGTGTGGATTTTTATAGAAAAACGTCAATGTGATTAAACTTAAAGGCACAAAAATAATTTTCAGTTTTCAAGGACTCTCAAGTATTGGAAGATATATTGAAGATTTGACGGCCATTTCCTCGCTTACTTTGTTTCTGAAATCAGGCGACCCCTTTCTCATTCCAATTACAATATATATCTAAATTTCTATGATCCCCTTCGATGCCTTACGACGTACCAGGTATATCATGAAAATGTGTAATTTTTAGTGCTGTGCCGTACCATGTAGGCCTACGTCACAGAAGTTGGCAAAATTTGCTGCTCCCAGTTGCCAATTTGATGTTAACATGGCTCACAACTAGGCTTGCAAGCGATCGATAAACATATCTAGGCTTGCTCTCGTAATAAAATGAAAACATCAAAATGGCTTTAAAAAGGCAAATAAATTCACTTTTCGACTTGCAGGTTGTTCAAAATTATGTGAGATGGGAGAAAATGGGGTATAAGAAAAGTGAGAAAAGTGACACAATTGAAGACTCGGTGTCCAAAATATGTCATGAGCGCGCTAGATCTAGACTGCGCGTCCCATCCAACCGTGACACACGCTAGAGTAGACGCTATCTTAACGGCAATTTTCTCGCGTTTTATTGTCTTTGCGTTTACTCTGTTTCAATTTCAAGAATCACTACCAGAATTTCGAAATGTTATTAAACATACCGGAAACCTTGTAACCAATCAGTAGAGCATGGCTGACAGGCTGCAGTTAGACGCAAGTGTGAAATTTTAGCGTGCAAAACACATCGATACGGATTTATATACGTCAAGCCACTGACCCAACATGTCGTTCCATGCTGTATCTCCAAAGATCGTCTATCACACGATCTTTGGTATCTCCACGGCCTTCTAAAAATAGTCTGTGGGTATCCTTCAGATGACATAACATGAAATCTAGATTTAGATTTTACTAGAATTATTCGCCAATCGGGCAGGTGCGTCGTTCTAGACCAACATTAAACCGCATTCTAGTGATGAATAAACGAACTTTATTTGGAGGGACAGAAACATCACGCCCAACTCGAAGATCAGCCTGTGAGTCGTGGACACTGACAGCAGAATTGGAGAAAAGGATTCAGACAACAGAGATGAGATGTTACCGCAGACTCCTTGACACCTACAAAGAATACGTTTCAAATGCTGAGGTACGGAACAGAATCACCAACGCAGTGGGGCAGCAAGAAAGATCTACTGACCACAGTGAAGAGACGAAAATTGAAATGGTATATGGGCATGTCACAAGATCCACGACCACAGGACTTGCCAAAACAATTCTATAAGGAACCGTACAAGGAAAGAGAAAGAGAGGAAGGCAGAGAAGGAGATGGGAGGACAACATTACAAAGTGGACAGGAAAGACGATGGGTGACAATCCGAGGAGAGCAGAGGACAAAGATCATAAATGGCGAGAGCTGGTTTTCAGATGGCCACCTCTATTCTCACCCGGAGTGAGAATAGTGCAGGCGAGTCTTGTGGCTATTCTCACCCGGTGCGCGTTCACCAAATTTTGCGTTCACCCTAAACCACAGAATTCTACACTGTGATAACAGAAAAATTGTAGAATTCTGTGCCGTGAACAAACGTTCCATTACAACTGTAGCCTACTAAAAGCGTACAATTTTGTCTGTGGGCAGTGGAGAGAGAGAGAGAGAGGAGTAGCGCGAGAATTTCCGGGCAAAACAAAATGGCGACCCGCGTAGTTCGGCTCGATTCGAAAAGTTAAATAGCCGTAACATCTTTGTAGACAACCAAATTAATTTACTTTTGTGTTTTAACATCATTTTTTAACTTTGTTTTGGTCAATTTGATCGTCCACACCGATAGACAGTATTCAGAAAGAGACAGAGAGAGAGAGAAGAGGGGAGGAGTTGATCTTGCGAGAACTTCCGGGCGGGTGAGAATAGCCACTTTCTTTTCAGATGCTGTGAGTGTGGTGCCCCCACAGTTCCCCAACCACTGGATAGAAGAAGAAAAAGAAACGAATTTGCTGGCACTTTTTTTCAGAACCAACAAAAACTCTAGATTCTAGATCTATTCTAGATCTAGCAGAATTTACAACAGGTTTAACCCATCGGCTGCACAACATGTTAACAACTCACCAGCAAAACTGTTGGAGACATCCAGTATTCCTTGACGATTGGATCCCAGCAGCACTCCGACAACCCGCTTCACGTTCCCGACTTTACCCATTCGATTGAAGTGGTCAACCACACTCAATAGAACAAGAGGATGAACGACCACTTTATTAATCTTACTTGGATCTACAGGAGACATATTTGTCACTGTTAACTTCAGTTCGGCCCCCAAAATGAAACAAAACTCCTTTACCGGGGGTGTTTTGATGGCTTTGCTTTCTCACAATCTCACTCTTTTGTTCCGATAATGCCAATGACTTCACAAAACGAAAAGAGCCTGTTTCTCGGTTATTTCCGACTCTGTTACTTCCGACTCGGCAAGCGTGCCGTTTTGGCGAATAATTTCTTGGAGCAATTGAAGTCCAGATTTGAAGATAGTTTTACATTAATTGGCTGGTTTTGAGTCATTAGTACTATTATTATTTTTTAAAATGAATTAAATCCATTTCGTCTTGAAACTGATATCAATTTTATTCGAATGCTTTTTAAACAAAAGAATAGACAAAGCAGCATTTGGTGATTGTAAATTGCAGTTACCGTATAAAATAAATAAAATGACTGAACCTCTTTTCGTGATGAAAATCATGTCAAGCTATAGAGTTATTTCCTAGTTGTGTAAATCTATAAGCAGAGGTGTCAAGCTCTAACTCTAAAGTGGCTTTCATTGTTAGTAACAATGTTTAGACAGTTGTTTTGGTTGGGGGGGGGGGCATTTTTTAAATAGTCTTTTTGTTTGTGTTTTATACGTTGGGGGCAGGTTCTTTTAATGAATAACTCTCTTTTTATCGTTGTCAGCTAAAAAAGCGCCCCATTCCCTCTCAACAACATGTAAGCCTATTTCGCTAATTTCGCTGGTATTTTGTGAGAGTAGAATGGAAAATGGAAATTCATCTGGGAAGATAACTTGTTTGCAATCGCTAGGCAAAACTATCATGGCGGCGTAGATCTTTTGCCGCTAACGATACCCAAAGCAAAACTTCCAAGTTCTGTAAATTGAGGACCAGTATGCTTAGACTGCTTTTGTAGGCCCTCCTTTGAATCATGGAGAAAGGTCAGAACCCGTCCCGGGTTCCCAGAGAGTCTGTGCACGAGCAGGATGAACGGCTAACGTCAAAACACATCCAGACACTTGGATTTCTACAAGAAATTGTGAACGAAAACAAAGAATTGAAGACCAGAGTAATTGAACTTGAGGTAGCCTGCTCCTACTCTTTGTGAAAGTTACATTTTTTGCTGTTCAACATAGACCATCTGTATGGGTGTTTAAGAAAACAGTGTTGCCAATGCAAATCCCAAGGAAAATATATATAGATCTAGTTGTTTTGTTGGGGAATGGCAGTGTGTGTACCAAGGGGGGACTGTGGCTTGTAAACTACAATTTGACATATAATGCCCAGTTTGTCACAGGCCCAGTTTGTCACAATTTCATTTAAGTATTTGAGTATTGATGACAGACATAATTAAACCACTGTAACACAATAGTCGTTACTTAAGTTTTTAAAAATTCTCCATCTTCAAATTGGCGTTGTAAAGAAGTCCCTCTTAAATATCAATTCAGCTTGTGTTGTTCAATATTTCTTCCTTTTTGTATGCAAATCAAAGCAAATTACTCTGTAGAATTTCAACAATGAATGTTCTTTCGTTAAAAACAGTTGAAAAATAAAATTCAATTCATACTATCTATCAATCATTCAATTTTTTGAGAGTGTCAGTGATAACTTCCATCATACAGGGCACTGTCAAGCCGGGGTCGTGGGCCTGTGACAAACTGGGCCTGTGACAAACTGGGTCTGTGACAAACTGGCATGCTTCCAATGTAAGAGCTAGATCTACGTAGCGTACAGCGCTTTTAGATTTATTTCGAGTTTTCCGTGTTTGTGTTATTTGTACCCGACTGCAGTACTAATTTTGCTCAAACTCAGAGACGCCAGCAGTGTTGGTAACAACAGGCCTATAGTTTGGGGGGGGGGTGCTGATATTCTGCGCTAATTACTGATTGGTGCAATCTTAAGATTGCGCGCTGTGCGTTTTAACTATCATATAATTGCGCAGCAATCTTAAGATTGCGCTGCATGTTTACACTTTTGAAAATATTATAAATGTGAATGCTTCTTGATGTGAGTAAAAGAATTAAGATGGAAGTGTTAAAAAAAATTATTTTAAAAATATAAAATATTAATGCAATTTTCTGATTGCCATGCAATTATACGATTGTTACAATGCGCAGTGCAATCTTAAAGATTGCATCAATCGGTAATTAGCGCTGAACTTTAATAACTGCATGATTTTATAGTCTGCTTTGTCTTATTAATGATGTCACTGTTAGGCGCGTTCTGTCGATTTGCCTGATCGGTGGATTGCGCAACGCATATTGTGGATCCATAGAATACACAACAAGCCATCGATTGTTGCGCATTCTGTAGATCGGTGGATCGTGCAACCTGTCCCCGCTGAATTATGCAATTTTAGATGGCCAAATTATGCAAGACAACTGCAAAATTATGCAAGTTACCGTAACGCCATTCATGACATACTTTGCACTTTTTGAACAAGAATTTTCATGTTTTAGATCTGCATGTATAGAAGAATTGAAAACAGAACATATCAGTGTCAGTACATGTAGTTTTTTGTGCATTTGGAAAGATACACATCAGTCAGAAAAAACCAAAAAAAACAACCAAAAAATATAATCTCCGTAACTTTCAGCTAGATCTACATATAGAGGAAAGAAAAAAGTTTAAAAAACAAAACAAACGAAAAAACAACAAAAACATGGACCTCTGGCAAACATTTGATGGATTGAAAAATTTAACTTGCTCAAGGAACAAAAATGCCAAACAAGGGAAATGACCCAACTGTTACTTAAATGAAACTTATTACTTACATTGATTACCTCCCTTTAGTCACATAGCGACCCTTGTTTTGCGAAAAGTTTCATTTAAAAGACGTGGGGAATCCTAATTTATGCGAAATCGCATAATCTGACAGGGACAGTGCAGTGCTTTTTGTGGATGCATAAAATGCACAATGGATCTTAGATCTTCTTACCTGAGTGTCGAGTGTTTCATTTTTCTGCTATGAAATAAGGTGTTAACATCAGATGAGCGTCCATATCCATATTGTTGACATTGCACTAAGTGGAAGTTAACATTCTATGGATTCACAAAAAGCGCTGCGCCATCCACCGACCTACAGAATGCGCAACAATCGATGGATTGTTGCTGAACTATGGCAGATTGCAAGTGAATTTTTATTTTGCTTTTGGGGGCTAAAGCGCAGTATTTTGTACTGCTGAACACATGGTCACTGGTCACTAAAACTTAAACTGTTCCAGATCATTTGTGAGGCATCGTGGTGAAGTCAGGCGCTCGTCCAAATAATGAAATTGAAGAAACTAGTGTTTTTCAATCTATTTGGCTATTTTTATCAAATTTTGAATTTTGGGCTCAAGACCTTGTATGTCCATTTAAAAACACATTGCTGTCTGGATTTTATGTAAAAGAGTTAATTAAAGGCGTGCAAATTGTAAATTTACAGTTTCCAAAGGCTCTCAAGCTTTGAAAATCAATAAACTTTGGCGGACATTTTCTCATTAATTTTGCCTCGGAAACCAAACGACCCTTACCTCCTTCAGTCCAAAATATCTCGACTTCTATTCAGATAGACTGGAATTTTTTGCATCAAAAGACAGACAAATGAACAAACTTTACGATGGTACCAATAACTCCATATGGCAAAAAATTGACGAGCGCCTGATTCCACCACGTTGTGACACAGTTGTTTTCAAGAAAACCTCAGATGTAATTGTTAAACGTCTTTTAAAACATGCAAAATTTTACTATGCAATTAGGCCTATTGTAATAATTTAAATAATGCCAATAAAATCGTCAAATACCTCAGAACTAATGATTTACCTAGTGACAGATTTAAAATCAAATTTAATGTAGAACGGATGTAAATGAATATAGGGAAATTACTATAGAGTACCTGAGCATGAGACTGGACTGAAAGTAAAATGAAACAAAATCTGAGTTATATTATACGTGCTTGACGTTGAACAATACAGTTTATTCAGTTCGATTATGGTGAAGTACCCCTGTATATTAATTGTTAATGCCGCTAATTAGCGCCTCATTTAACGTGTTTTCTTTTTCAATAATTTTTTTTTCTTTTTTTTTCTCTCAACAGGAAAGTTTAGAAGAATGCAAAGATTTGCATGCCTTTGCGAAACAGAGCAAAGAGAAGATAAAGGATATCCAGGAATCCTACATGGCGCGGGCTGATGAAATGAACAGCATGCTGGCTGAAAAGCACAGAGTTGAGATGATGCAAGTGGAAAATGAGAAGCTAGAAATTGAAAGAGAGCTAAAAGAACAAATTCTTAAGGTAACATAGTTGGACCTGCTCCAACACCCACCTGTCCAACACAGTCACCTGAACAAATGATGAACTCCCATTTCTCCACTGCTTAAAAAAAAAAAAATCATAATGATGCTGTTCAAGGTGTCCATATATGTCTAAAACAAACACTTTTGTCCTTTACATTGGAAGGTCGTCTTGAAGGCAATCAATTTGGATAGTCTTTTTATTCATACCAGTAGAAATGATGTTCCTTTTAAAATTCAAGCATGAATTGCTACGCTATACAATGGAGATTGCCTAACTGAAAACAGTTCATCTGAAAATAGTGGAAAAAAGCAGAGGCCTTGACTTTTTTCCTCTTTTCTTTGTAATAAGACTAATGATTAGCCAAAATACTCCTACAGTCGAGAAGGCAAGATCTTGAATCAAGCTAGCCACTTGCATTATCCAAAGATTGAAACATCAAATGTTGCATAGTTTGATGATTGGGCCACCACATGTTTCATCTTTTCATCAAGCATTGATGAACTACAATTCTCTTGCTATTTCATACACTTTTATAAATGGATCTTGTTCCAATATCAGTCATAGAAATAAATAAAATTTATAGAGTGGGAAAAACAGGAATAAAAAACTGTCTTGCTATTTTTAATCCCACATTTTTGTTGCCCCAACTGTTATTGTAAGTGGATCCCTCTGTAATCAGCTTTAGATTTCTCAATAATTGTGATAAAAACATTGAGTGTAACAGTGATAACTGTATTCTCAATTCAGCAACTCTTATAATTATTTATATATTAAAATTACTTTTGAGAGAGTGCTGTACTACAATAGGTTGTTTGAAAACAAGTTTATTTCCTTGCTTTTATAAGTTACAACTACATGTTCTTCATATGGAGTTGACTGTTGCCTTTAGTATTTTTTCAACATTTTAAAATCCATTGTTCTATTTCATTCTCCAGTAATGATTTGAAATTCTGAATTCTCTCGTAGATGCGCCATGATATCGATTCTTTGAATGCAGCCAACAAAGACTTGCGTGACACTGCTGCTGAAGATGAAAACAGCAGCGAGGCAAAAACCAAATTGAAGGTAAAGTTTATGAGTTACCTATGTTTTATTTGCTTTAAAAAAATAATTTAAGTACGGAAAGTATAAATTGCAGCATTTTTTTTCAGTATTCATTGTTGAGACTGGAAAAACAAATAAAACAAGTGGATCCTGTTTACATTCTTGACTGACAATTTTTATTTCTAGTGAGTGATTAGTGCCATACCATTTAAAGAACTGCATATTTACTTGGAGATTTGCATTTTTATCACTGTGTGTCCCTTTATTAGTGCTTGAATTATTTTCTAGAATACTTGATGATTACTTCATGCCAGTGGACTATTTTTTTTCAAGAAAACCAATTTGCCTCATTTTATACATTATGTCATTTCAGGAAGTAATGAAACAGATGCAGACATACAAACAAGAAAATGAAGAGCTGAAAGAAGAGCTAGAAGGTATCCGCTCTGATCTGGAGATCATCCAGTCTAAGAGGAGCACTGACATGACCCAGGTGAGGGAGCTCCGTGCTGAGAACAAGCAGCTGAGTGAGACTGTTCAGGAGGTGCAGCAGAAGAACAATGAACTGGAATTCCGACTCGATAAAGCTCTCAGTGACCTCAGGGAAAAGGCAGATGACCAGGTAAAGAAAAAAGTAAACTTTGTCAATCTTTATAGCTGTATTTGTTTCGCAACGCTTTTTCATATGTGATGAATTTAATGTTATATTTGCAGTGCAGATTTTTTCATGGAAGTTTGCTAAAAGATACATCACAGTGCTCACCCGCCTACATTACTTGAGATTTCTTATGAAGCCACATTCTGAGGTGAAGACTGTCGGCATTGTTAAATAAAGAATCGAATGTGACTACCTGATGATGTATCTTTTGTTATCATGATTAGCTGGTTAGCTATTCTTAGGAGAAGAGTTAAAAATGGTTCATTCATTATTACAAAGAGATGCAATTACTGCAGTCAACTCCACTTGTAATGTATTGAAGTACACTTGGGTTGATCTTTTTCTAGGATCCCAGCACCTCTCTCCTTTACATTTGTTAAAGTCATAAAGTCAAACAGTTATGCTGAGTCTAAAGCAAATGAAACACGCTTGAGTTGAATTACTTTTTCAGCCCAGGCTGCAAGTATGCATTGGCTGTGTTGATTTTTTTCATGTGCATCACTGGTGTTTCACAGCAGTTTTGGCATGAATGATGCTATAAATATATGTAAAAAAGACATTTATTGTGTAGAACTGATCAAAGTGCTATAGTCCTACCTAAAGTATCAATGAAACAGTGAGGGAAGTGCAAGAAGCGGATGTATGAGACGTCACAATACAGTAACCATGTCTGTTCTTGCTTCCCCTCCCCTTAAAGTGGATGGCTATAGAGCACTTCAAGACAATTAATATTACTGTAAAACCTAGGTATAACATCAAATGAAAATGTACTCTTGACTGTAAAGTTCACTTTTTGAAGTCATGAGTCCCAGTTACTGTTAGTATTTTTACTCTTTGTCAAAAACTTACCTGTGTAAAGAGCACTTTTCGCTAATTATGTTCACTTTTCAAGGGAATTTAGTGTTCTAGATTTCATTTATAACAGACATAGTACATTATGAGAATAAAGAGTATGGCATAGTATTACCGTACTCAGCTGCAGTGAGAGAGTGAGTTTTTCGCTGAGGTATATATTAGTACATGTATTTGTTAGTTTTGCCACCAGTGGACTCTTGCAACTACCCCTCCCTTCTCTCCCCCCCTCTCTCTTTCTCTCACTCTCTCTCTCTCTCTTTGTTTGTCTCTCTCTCTCTCTCTGTCTCTTTCTCTCTCTCTCTCTCACATTCACACTCACACACAAACACACACATACTTACACATACATGTATGCATACACACTCATACACACACGCATACACATACATGTGAGCACATGGTGATTAATGAAGTGAACAATAAATAGTCTATTTCTAGGTAACTTTTCTTGTCGCCACCATTATTACCATAGTAGGCTATAATAAGAATTTGATCCGGCAGAAAGATTTTGTTATGTCCCTTGTTTTTTGGTCCTGATGGTTTAATTGAACTTGAACTATGGATAAGTTTGTCTTTTTTTTTCACTCCCCTGACAACATCAATTCGTCCGTAGTCAACTGTAATACAAAACCCTGCAAATATACTGAGAGGAATGTTCGTAAAGATTTGGATGGAAATGTTCTGATTGAAAGAATTTTTAAATTTCTGTTTCTGATAATAATGATATGGCGCTCATATGACCGTATGCCGTTGCGAGCGCCGTAAAACCCTCTAAACCCCCCCCCCCCAACTAATTATGATATCTTATCTTTTCTGACAGGAACAAACAAATTTGATTGAAAACCTGAGAGACAAAGTGAGACAGCTGACTTTGGACAGAGAGGCTGGTGTGGAAAGAGAAACACAAATGGGCCAGGACTTGCTTGATTTATCAGCTCTCAAAGATGAGTTGAAACACGCGAACGCCCACCTTCAGCGGGAACTGGAAAAACTTTTGACTGAATATGGACACTTGCTGGCTGAATATGAAAGACTTAGAAAACGATCCATGAAGGAGAAGGACAATAAGACTTTCAAAGATTTTGTTTCTCTCAAACGTGAACTCAGGTCAGTGAGACATGAGAATGAAACCCTGAAGCATGGAGGCAAAAATGATGGATTGACTGTTTTGAGAGATGATCCTCCACCCTTACCTGTAGAGCAGCCAAAAAAGAAAAATGCTCTTGATGGAAAACGAATAGGTGCTAAAAAAATGTTGGCTATCACCTTGAACAGGCCGACTGCAACGTCAAACTCATAAAGGAAATAATAGTGATGATGTTTTTCAGAGTGCAAGATCTCTAAGTTTAGCCCTTTCTATAATCTTTTAGTTTCATTACGTCTTTTATGTCAAGTTCAATTGTAAACTTTGCTGAGTGAAATTCATGAGAGTTGCAAACATTGTGATAATACTTACTGATTTCTTGTAGAAAACTTCTGTTAGTTAGATTAATTTTCTGCTTGGTGGGGTTCTGACCTTGAAAGTTGGTACTGATGGTGATGATTCTGACATTGATAGCAAAGATTTTTATAACAATGAGTCTGATTGATTTGGGGGTGTGGGGGGATTTCATCTGCCTATTAGTATGAGCACTACTGTTATTGAAGGTGTACCTTTACCTTTGCGAATCATGACTGGACAAAAGGTGGTGAGGCAATGTTTATATGAAGACTTTGAAATAAAAAGGCAGAAGCTACTTCAGAAAGAGGGAGAGAAAGGGAGAGAGAGAGAGAGGGAGAGAGAGAGAGAGAGACTTGATACAAAAAAATGCACTGTCATCATTTCAGTTTTATTGTTCTATTTTTGGCCTCTGGTTTATTTCTTAATTTTTGCATGGTTTGTAATTTTTCTCACCAATAGCACAAATCTCTGTGAAGAATTGCTAAGCACTTAAAATCATTGTAAGATCATTTTTCTTGCCTTCTTTCTCAAGGTGGTTTGGTATTAAATGCATTTACTCATTAACAGCTACATTGAACGTAATAATATTATTATGTAGACCTATCACAAATTTCCGCTTTAATTTTACAGGCCCTGAAAGCTGAATCAAGTGACCTTATTTTCATCTGATCATTTAAACTTAAACATCTTTATTGGTCATAATTAAGCCCTGATTATGTCTACTGTGAAACATTTTTATTTAGAGATTTTTTTTGCAAACACCAAAAGTTGGGATAGAACTATATATCAGGACATGACCGTGACTGATTGCAATGGCTGTGCTTTCTTAAAATTTTGTGTTGAAGCACCACTATTTCTGTGGTCAACACACCTTGCCCAATTTTTCTTTTAAGGTTGTACCATGCTAATCTGATGTTATTTTGTACACATGAATCCTTAAACTGTCTTTCCTAACTTTTGGAGTTTTGAGGAAACTTGTTTATATGTTTCATTGTTTTGTTCGTTTAGAGGGATTTTGAAAAATTGATGTGACAAATGGTAACGTTTTTATACAATAATTTATGTTTTGCCTGTGCCTGTATTGATTTTAAAAGCTTTGACAGAAAAGTTGTGTAGCCTTAATGGGGTTATTGTAGCAGTCGTTCCCAGGAAACATGACTGTATTCAGGGATTTAAGCTGTGATGGAAGATTGACACAGTCAGGCATGGATAACTCAAACACGCTGGGGTTGACAAATGTGTCCGACACATCCATAATTCGGGTAAAGCGATACAAAAATACAATTTAATCCACTTATATCGACATCCTATTTATAGACATTCTGACCTATCAACATATTTTCCAGTTACAAAATTCTTTCTTCAATATCTTCTCTAAACAATTTCTCTTATGTCAACTTTGTTTTCAGCCCACTCTGCTTTATCGATATGCTCCGGGTACCTGGCGAAGCCCACGAACATATATGGGGGGAAAAAGCCGCTTTAACAGTCAACACATTAGTTTTTCATGAATGCCGCATTCCCGCCAAGTAGCCTATCGACACAACAGGCTTTAGTAGGTTATGTAGGGCCTACTCAGTATAGTCTCCCACACAGTACTGTACCTTACAGACGTGAGTGTCTCGCACGCTGGGCATCACCTCCCTACCACTACCCCCCACTCCCGATGGCTCACTCCCCTTCCCCATCCCATTCTCAGTCTGTCGCTGGCAAGTGCCACGGTCAGTGAGTCAGTGCCTTGCCTTTCCATTTTCCCCTGCAAGCGGCATTAAATAGGCCTTACAAGTATGCCACAACAAAGTTTGTGCTGGTATGTAGTGTGCGCCTCGCATTGCTCGGTCTTTGGTACCTTAACTTCAACTTCTTCCCTCCCTCCTCCCCCCCCCCCCCCCGCCCCCCTCCTCTGCTTTTTGTTAGTTTCAAGCATCAAGAGAAGCAAACAGCTTTAAAAAGTAGTGTTGTCTTTTACTGCTTACCTCCCATTGTTTTTTCCTCTTTTGGGTTACATTTACATTGACATTTTTATATATCGACATCTAATCCACTTCCCACAGCATGTCGATATAAGCAGATTATACTATACTGTAGATATCAGTTGGGGAATGGCAAATATTATGAATTATCCGTGGTTTCGAGTTTTCCATGTTTGTGTTATCTGTGCCTGAGTGCATTGAGCCCCCTGTGACTGTTAAACCTGTGCTGCACTCTTGAAGAGAATTCACTCATAGCCATAGCTTGATATTTCCACTTTTGATTAGGTGATGTTCGCGTGCAAAATGCAAAGGTTCTAAGAAAAAGTTCATTTAAAATCTTCCGAGGTATATGATGCATTAATGAGAAAAGATGATGTAGTATTCTTATGAGTTAAGAGCATGAAAAGCAACTATTGACTTTTCTCACTTTTTCATGCAGTTACAATTCCTCTCCTTTATAGTTACTGTATGGTACTCAAAGCGATGGAATATCAAAATGTCCCATACTTATCCCACCTTTATTTTTTCAAATCTTTTTTTTTTATACTGCCTATTTTCGGTGTCTGGTTGTGAATGATTTATACCTCCGTTTTAACACTTGTCCCGTCATTTAGGAGGCTTATGCTACTGCAGTCTTCTCTGTCGAGGCCAACCTGATCTTTATGGAATATGACCTCAGAGTAGAAAGATGGAGAAACTTTATAAAGTGTCTTCCACTTGTGAAAATCAAACTTTTGCATGCAATGCAAAGGACCTGTGACCATTGTATTACACTTGCCAGATTTTTTAAAATGGTGTCCTTGTTCATGTTGAACAAATGTTTTATTTTTTGTTTGGTAAGTGTTTTATGACACTCGTAACTGCATAAGGTCATATGAGCGTGCTGGAAACATTATATGTTTTCAGTTTGGTGGGAATTTATAATAAATTTTACACAGGTAGCAGCATAAGCCTACTCTTTTATTGATTTTAGGACCTCCGAGGGATCTTTCATGTGCACAACTTGCACACAGGACCTCCTAGAATTGTTCGCCTGTATCCGAGAAGACTAGGAGATTAAATCTTATCAGGGGTGTGGCTGAAAGACAACTGTAAGAAGGAGCCAAGATCAGAAGCAGTAGAAAGAGTCAGGAGCCGAGAAGAGGGGGAAAGCGCGGATGACAGAACATGATCAAAGAGCAGGAAAGGATGTCAAACAAAACAAAAAAAATTTAGAGAAGAAACCTTTACGTCGCTATCAGGTTTAGAACCTGGAGCCTTTTGAATGAGAGGTGAACGCTGTACCTCGAGACCACGAGATTCCCCTGAGCTATTGTCAATAGCACGGGTAGCAGTGCATATTTGGGAAGTGAGGTGTATTTGTATGTTATTGGCTGTAAATGTTATTTCTGAATTGTTGAAGACTTATAATAGACAGCATAGGTCTAAAATACATGGTCAGAATAGTGGTCAAGCACTTCTAGTTTGGAGCTAGTCAACTTTTATGTTTTGGTTATTGTTAAAGGTACTTTGTGACATTACTTGGGAAAACTGCTGTGCAGTGCACTTTGTAATAAAACTTATTCTTTTTTACTAAGAAATGTTTTGTTTATGTCCTTCAGCTGCAAGAGATCCATCATGAGAGAGAGAGAGAGAGAGAGAGAGAGAGAGAGAGAGAGAGAGAGAGAGAGAGAGAGAGAGAGAGAGAGAGAGAGAGAGACAGAGAGAGAGAGAGAGAGAGGGGGGGGGGAGGGACGGACAGACAGACAGACAGAGAGGGAGAGCGAGAGGGAAGTAGACAGAGAGAGAGAAAGAGAGAGGGGAGAGAGAGAGAAAGAGAGAAGAGAGAGAGATCGAGAGAGAGAGAGAGAGAGAGAGAGAGAGAGAGAGAGAGAGAGAGGACAGAAAGAGACAGACAGAGAGAGAGACAGAGAAAGAGAGAGAGGAGGGGGGGGGGGTGTTTGTCCCTTGGATCTGATGACATGCAGCCTGTGCTATCTTTGAAGATGTACCATTTGTGACCTCTCAGCCTGAAGTTTGAATGAAAGCGTCTTCTGGTGTCACAGTCCCAGTGGCAGTCTGTACTGGCATGAAAGACATTTTCAGTTTGATAGGCATTAATTTTGAATTTTCCGTAGACTACTCTTATCAATTTTGGACAACCAGTGATTGCTAACGTGCGCAACTTGCACGGGACCTCTGAGATTTTTCGCCCGAGAAGGATATTATTAGCTGTTATTCGGTGTGCCCACTGCGGATGGGATCGGGTCGGGTCAGAGGCGATTGTCCCTTTTGTTTTTTTTAGACGAGAGTCGGGCGCGATCAGCTTGTGCCACAATATAGCCACTTTGCGTCATCAATCTGGCAAGCAAACCACCCCAAATCGATCCCTCAAATAGGCGCTTCATAGTAAATCTTACCTATCTTAAGATCAGGGGTGTGGCTGAAAAACAGCAGTAAGAATTAGAGCCAGGAGTGAGTAGCAGTAGCAAGGCTGCAGAAAGAGTCAGGAGACCAGAGGAGGGGGCAAAGGGGGTGGGGATTGGGGGGGGGGCAGACAGTGAAGACGAAAACAGACAACCTAAATTGGTTAGACAACAGGGAAGGAGGTGAAAGGAGAACGTTTTAGAGAAGAGAATTTCCCGTCGCTTTCAGTGTCAGGTTTCGAACTCCTATTGAATGAGAGCTATGCTAGATAGGCAAACACCGTATCTTTAGACCACAAGAACCCCCTCCCCTCCCTCACATGTTTGGTTGCTATACTTCTTTTCCCTGTGCATGGCAGCTGAGTCAATTATTATTATTATTATTATTATTATTATTATTATTATTATTATTATTATTATTATTATTATTATTATTATTATTATTATTATTATATTTATTATTAGATCTATTATTATTATTATTATTATTATTAACTAGATATCTTCTCAATTTGTTTTTAGTCTTTACCACAACAACTCATGATGGCAATCGAGATCACTGCTACGCTATCCCATTATACCACCAGCATGCATGTGTGGTACACTCGTCCGAGATCAGGCGGTTTAACGGGGTTTGACTATATATTAAATATTATATAGGCCTTTAATATATTGTACCCCGATGTATATTTTGCATACAGTCGGAGTCTAAGAAGGCCAGGGAAGATCGTGGGTGTGTTTAGACGTCGGTGGACGTTTTGGACGTATGTCACTATAAAAGAAATATTAAACCGTATAAGGGGGTTGGGGGAGGAAAGGGGAGGGGGGGGGGGGGGTGGGTACAGGTAGCCACTGGAGCAGGTTCGCCCAATTAGGATTAAATCTGCACACGGCCTTTAGCCTACATAATTATATAGGCACATGTCATTTAACCTATGTTCATTTTATAGGCCTACATATTGTATTATGAATATGAGGCAGGAGTCGATGGCCAACGACGTAGCATGCACAATATGCACAATTAAAGGATAAACAGAAGAAAAAAATGCAGGACTCTATAATATAGACTGGCGGTCACAGAATGTAGAAACTTTTCAGTTAGTGCTGGCTCGAATGTAGAAAATAAGAACCGCGGTTGTGCAGTGTTAATCAAGCCATTTCGCAATAATATTTCTGCCCCCCCCCCCTTCCTTTTCCGTTTCTTTGTCTATCAGTCAACCCCACGACCCATTCTCTTTAATCTGTCTCCCTACGCTCCCTCGTGTGTACACCCCCACTCCCCTTCTCTCTCTCTCTCTCTCTCTCTCTCTCTCTCTCTCTCTCTCAAATCTACTGCCTCTCTTTTCCTCTCCTCAATCAATCAATCACATGATCTCTTTTTGCCTGACGCACGTGTAGAATTCTGTGGCCTGACGTCACATCACAACGTGACTTTAGCGCTTTTGCTTCGGCCGACGTGGTGAATTTTCAAGGTAGAATTCTGTGGCCTACCCTAATTTGACTGATCAAGATAGAAAAATCTGGAGAACACTTGAAATCAACACAACGTACTCAATTTAGTTTCATTCACCTGGGTGGCAGTTAGCAATACTGTCGTGTTGTTGTGTGTTCGGCGTCCAGTCTTCTTTGATTGATTTGTTGTTTATGTCCTGGAACTGGAAACCCCCAACCTAAAGCTGACTACGGAGACAAGTTCAGGGGAACAGAGAAGATTTGAGTTGAGGTTAGTGTCTTCGGGAGAAAGTCCGAGATCTACTAAGGAAGTATGGTCTCATTCGAAGTCGGAAAAGTTCTTGATTTTGTTGATGTGTGTTCTTGTGCCTTTTGTAAACCGAAGTGTATACAGACCCGGTAACCGGGAACAAAGTCACGAAGTATACAGACTACAGACCCGGTAGGGGAACTCTTTTGTGATTACGGGAAGAGAGAAAGAGAGAGAGAGGTACTAGCAAAATGTATATATGACATGCCCCAGTTGGCAGGGGGGAACGAGAGAAAGATAGAGTGGGAAATAGGTGGGGACAAAGAAAGACAGAGACAAACAAGGAAAAAGAGAAGGCGAGCGATACACAGAGGAGAGAGAGAGAGAGAGAGGGGGGGGGGGGGGACTGCTCGATTGAAATTATGACATTGTTCTTTTCTTCAAATTGTGACTCCTCCAACTCCAAAACGGAGTAAAAACGATCGTTCGTTGAAAAGACATCCGCAATCTTCATTTAGATCTAGGCTAACCCCGAAACTAGATCAAAGATTTATGTCTGCCTAGATCTAGATCTAGATCTAGACCATAGATCTAGAAAAACCTAGGTCTACCCTGAGCCAAGAGGGCGCTGAAATTCTCCGAAATCACAAAAGAGTTCCCCTACCGGGTCTGTATACTTTGTGACTTTATTCCCGGTTACCGGGTCTGTATACACTCCCTTTGTAAACTTGTCTACTGTACTGTTGGACTGTGGGCGTAGAATTAGAATCTAGAATTTACCCCTGCCAATGAATCATGACGGTGTAAAGCAGTTGTCTGTTGTTATTGTATCTAGATATCTAGACCTAGATTCTAGATCTAGAATATCTCTCTCTCTCTCTCTCTCTCTCTCTCTCTCTCTCTCTCTCTCTCTCTCTCTCTCTCTCTCTCTCTCTCTCTCTCTCTCTCTCCCTTTTTAACTCATAGTGGAGCATTTATAATAAAATGGCCGGCACTATTTCTCCGAACGTTCGGGAAAATAAAGCTGGGCACTATATCTCCGAACGTTCGGGAAAATATAGATCTAGATATCTAGATCTAAAGCTAGCTGGGCACTATTTCTCCGAACACTCTGAAATCACATCCTTTCCCGCAAATCTCGGATATATAATAGAGATCTATAATTATATTATTATAGGTCTCCCAAAGATTGTTCGTATACAATATTCAATATGGTTCAATAGGTCCAAAAAATGTCCGCAGTAAATATTTATATAAAGACAATAAAGAAATGCTACATTTCCAAACAGTTTTTCCCTACACAGATATGACGTGTTCCCTATGAAGGGTGCTGCTCTTAAACTTAATGTGTTGTGTTCACTCGTGTGCTATCTAGATCTAGATCGTTATTGATAACGACACACAGAACTAGCATCTGCGTTTGTCGCGGCGCGACCAATCAATCGTGGCTCGATTTTTTTGCATTTTTTTTGGTCCCAGAATCGGGGAATAAAAATCAAAAAAAAAAAAAAAGAAACCAAACTTCTTTACTTTTAAAAGAAAGTTTATTTCGCTTCACTTTGTCTCTTTCTCACTTGTTATCACCACGTTGATTTGTTGAATACATTCGGTTACATACGATTTGTATTGCTGTTCCTTTTTTATTTTTCCCTCTTTGTGGTGTTTTATTTTGTTGGTGTGTAATTTATTTTTCTTGTTATTGTTCTGATGTATTGTTTTTTTTTTGTTGGGGGAAAAGGGGGGGGGGGTGTAGTATAGTGTAACGTCATTCAATTTGATGTTCCTACCTTCATTAGATTCTAAACATATACATGTATACAGTGGAATCCTGTTATAACGAGAGGGAGGGGACCGGAGCAAACTGTCCGTTATAGCAGGATTTTCGCTTTAAGGGATCCAGTAATAAATTCAAGGGAAATTGTAAAGTAGGCCTAATCTATGAGCTTGGTATTCTGTTTATCTCCCCTGATGATGATTTTGTTTCAACATGACCTTGAGGTCTTACTTGATCAAAAAGCGAATCAGGTTTCTTTCTCTAGCGCTAGATCTAGCGATGTTGACTGACACTTGACAGCTCTGCATTGGCGATCAGAAAGAAAGGGCTCTGGGTTAGGGACTGAGAAAGCCTAGGCTCTGGGCTAATTCACCCCGCTGTGTTTTCCCCCACCCCACCACACCCCGTGGTGCATTCCGTCAGCTTGCGCACGTCACACATTCACTCCATCCATCACATTGCTGTGACCTCTCCTTTAGTCTCCATCCCCGCATCGGAGAAATGAGAGGCATGGTACGCTTTGATAATCTAAACTAGGCTTATGCTGGCCTATCATGCGATCCGTTCTGCTTGTCTGTGCATGCCACGCCCTCCCTACTCAGTCGCTCCAGCCTTCATTAACTTCATTGTTGACACACATGGGCTCTCCCACTCTTTGTTTTGCAAGATCACCAACTAGTTTCTCAACTGGCGAGGTTTTACATTACGTATAATTGGCCCTTGCATTGCGCACAGCAGCAGCAATATTCCGCTATAACCAACTCGCGTGTATGTCTGATAGCGCTATAGCAGTATTTTATTTACAAAGGTAAAGAAGAGAAAAATCAGGGTTTTAGAATAGTATCTTTATAACAGACTTTTCGTTTTTTCCAGACTCGTTATAGGTGGACTCCACTGTATATATTTATAGATTTAAACCTGTTATGTTAGTACGTTCCACCAAAACCGATTACATGTACTGACACTGGCAGGCACCTTGTGTGTGATTCCATAATTTACATGTAATATTGTGTACTTAAAAAAAAATTACGCACATTTAGGGTTAAAACAGCCAATCTTCTTCGGACAGGTGGACACACGCCCTTATTTGTTAATTTCTGTGGTTGTATGGGCTGTTCTAATTTTGATTTCATTCTGTTGTGAAACCTTTCTTTTTCACGTTTTTACACTCATCTAAAAATCTCTTTAGATCTAGACCCAAAAATTTGCTCCTTCCCAGAGCTCGCAAAATGGCAGAATGAAAGTTGGCGCCGAACTCTCGCAAATAGGCAAAAAATCACGAGACCGGAAGCCGGAAACCGTTCGGATAAATAAAGATCGGCACTATTTCTCCGAACGTTCGGAGAAATAGTCACTTCGTAATAAAATATAGGCCATCAACAACATTTGGCGCTCTTTGGAACCGAAATTGCCTTCCCGTTCCATATTGGCTGTATCAGTAGATTTTATTTTTCATCTAGGTCCCTTTCAAATCTTTGCTGGGTTTTAAAATGAAATCAAGGGAATATTTTGAGGTGATGTGAAGCTGCAAAAGAAGTTTGTCTTTCTACTTCCAACTCGGTCTTTGTCTTTCTCATTTTTGCTTTCTTCATTCTTCTTTCTTTGTGCATGATCCCCATTTCTAAATGCTAAATGCTTAATTTTTTTTTGCGTAGGTCTGAAGTGGAGACACCCATAATGACAAGCCCCAAGGAAGACATGGCCATGGATACCAGTGATCTGACAAGTTCTGAGCTTGCTTTAGTCTCTGCTCATGAGAAGGCTGGACTTGTGTCACAACTGGCTTGTCACTTTTGCGGACTGCAGTTTGATGTAAAAAAGACTCGAACTCTGAGAGCACACATTGAGGAAGTTCATGTTTTAGGTGATGCAGGTTATATGTGTGGCATTTGTTGTGAAGAATTTACATCTCGTAAAGCAGTCGAGAATCATATGAGCACGTTTCATCGAGCCCCAAAACCTTTGGGTTGTGGTACATGTGGTGAGACCTTCAGAGTGAGAAACTTGCTGCTGAAGCACATTGACTCTCACACCAAGGGAGAAATAGACAACAACAAAGTGGGATTGTGTTATTGTGGTGAATGCTTCGAGTTTTTTGATAGTGTTATGTCTCTTCAGATTCACAGCATGACCCATCGGGAGCAGCCTATCTTTGTGTGTGGAGCATGCGGTCTGCAAACTCAGCACCGTCACGTCATGATCAAACATTTGGAGACGCATGTTATTTCGAACTTGCTCACTGCTTCTGAGAAAGAACATTCCATTCATGAGCTGAGACCCACAGAAATTGATGCTGCTCTTATTGAAGTAAGTTCCCCTTCAAAGATACAGAACGGGGAGCCAGCTCAGATTGTGAATGAAGGGGAAGCCGTGAAGGGAGAAGAGGAGACTAGCTATAAGTGTGGTGTCTGTTACGCTTCTTTTGTGAACCTGAATGATGCTCTAGGGCATGCTGAGACTCACCAAGAGGATGAGGAATCTCAGATGGTGAAAGAACTTGACTTCAAAGGCACTGTTGAACTTAATGTTTTAATGCCTGAGAGTGCTGAAAGTTCAGAAGATGTTCAAACAGAAAACCAAGTAGAAGCTGAAATTCATGAACAGGTGTAAAGTGTAAAGTAGGCATATTGTGCTGTACTTTCATTTTTTAAAAATAAGACACATGAGAGTAGGCCTACAGATTATGTAGGCTTCTGTTTGTGGAGAGAGAAACTTTGGAAAGAGAGCTGAAATGGGAACCAGGGACTGTGAATCTTTTAAAATGAAGTCGTGGTATTTTTTAGTCATATATATATATATATATAGAGAGAGAGAGAGAGTCCTTTTTCTTTTTAATATATATGCTTATTTACTGTTGTTATGAGTATGAGTAATCAAGCTAATAGTTAATTGCTTTCATACGTACTAGTTGGTACAGTCCATGCCGGCTTTAAGCACGGTCATCGGGAGAAAGCATAAGCGTGCTTAATGCCGAAGTGTGCTTGAGTGCGAAGTAGACATTGTTCATAATCCAGAGATTTTTAAGTTGAAATTTGCCTGAGTTATTACTCTTTGTTCGTAAGGAGTGGTCGCACAAAAGTGTTCACTGTCATTTTTACCCGCCATGGTAGTTCTTGATTGATTGTTTCGTTTTGTGGTCGAATCAAAGTAATGGAGTATCTTTGGTCGAATAGAAAATGAAAACTTAATTTAGACGGCCAGTCACAGTACAGCACTCTAGTCCTAGGCTTACACACTGCCTGTGCGTACCACTGCCCACTGTGCTACATTCATACCACCGCCTTCATCCCACCTCGCGCATGATACATAATCAGAATTATCGGATGGCGAGGGGCAAAGGGGAAATCGCAGCCAGCCTCCCTTTCTCGTAACCACGACTCTGTATTTTTTCGTCTGTGTGTAGCTTTGCCCTAGGCTAGATACTATGTCCGCGCGCGCAGCTGTGTGCATCTATATTGTCTTCCTCTCTGCGTGTGTGTGTCTCCATCACTTGCGTTTTTCATGTTTCTCTTAACACACTCCACTGCTGCAGTGTAGACTGTGTTCGAACTTCGATGGGTCATCATGAAAGTATTGACTGTCTTGTAAACGAAGCATGCCCGAAGCTGAAGTTACCGTGCTTAAAGGCGTGTAATTTATACAGCAAAAATTCGGTAAGAGCCATTTAGCGTCCTTGAGTCCGAAACGTGCTTTATGCCGGCTTGCAACCAGCACGGACTGTACCAAAACTCCTACTCCTTGGAATGACAATACCGATGTCACAAGAGAAGTGAATTCTTTTGTTCTTCTAGTCTGATTCTGCCTTGGGGAAGAATGTGGTGGTTGTCTCTGAATAGTGCATTATATTTAGCATAACCACAGTATTCATTTTATGGCAGGTTAGAACACAGACCACACTTTTTCTAGTTTGTGCTTCTTTTCTTCTGTACTTGTGCCTGTGGGAAGATTAATATGACTACTCTTTTGCCATTCTCATATTGTCTCATGTTTATTTATTGCCAACAAATAAGTATGGTAATTGCAGTGTGTTCATGGTCCTATAACATGATGGAGTTGGGTTCAGTCAAATATAAAGAGGTTGCAAAGTTATCATGGTACAGTTCTTTATTGGGTGACCTTATTTGGGCCACAGTGTGGCCTAAATAAGCTAAACCCCCCTCCCTTACCTTATTTAGGCCACACTGTGGCCCAAATAAGCTAAACCCCCCTCCCTTACCTTATTTAGGCCACATCATATGGTAGATTTCTTGAACTAACCATGGATTCGGAAGGTCGAAATTCTACTAATCTTTTTATTTAGTGCGGGGGATTATTTCAAAATAGAGGATGATTCTAAATAAGTGGACCAAGTGTAAGAGTTGTGTGTGTGTGTGTGTGTATGTGTTTGTTTTGTGTGTGGTTGTGGTGAGAGAGAGAGAGAGATCTAGAGAGAGAGAGAGTAAATGTAGTAGTGTGTTTGTATGTGTGTAATGTGTGAATGTTATTGTGTGCATGAGTGTCTATCTCAGTTGTACGGTCCAAATGTACATTATTTTGTTGAGAATTTTACATAGAACTCAACTACAAAACACCTTTATACAAAGTCACAGAAATATTCTTTTTGTGCTTATTGAGGTGCAGTACAGGGTGATTAAAACCTGCAAGGATAATTGGACAAAATGGGCAATATCTTACTAATGCTAATACTAATGGTCATATTTAGACAAATCCTATATCATTCTCTTTTTTTCTTAACAGCTCATGGTTATTAAAGAGTCAGCAAACTAGATCAAGGTAGTAATTTCGGATTCCTAATATTATGGGCATTCTTTAAAAAATTTAAACTTGTTTTTAGCGCTTTTTTCAACGTAAAACGGATTCCGTAAAAAAAACAACAACAACAATGACCTTATCTTTCTTTTTTAAGGTATTGTGCATACATTTGTGTGAAACTATTTTATTCTATGCTTTCAAGTACATGAAAAAAGCTAATAAAATCAAGCAAAATGTTTTTCAGAGACATAGATCTAGTAGTAAGCCCACTGGAACATTTTATAAACCGTGAAAAGATCACCAGAAAATAACAAAATTATCTTATGATTTTCACTTGCACTTGCAATTTTTTTGACAAATTATCGTCTACCTCGTTATCTTTTTTTTTCACATATTTCTTCACTATTCATGACAACTGGCATGTTTTCCAGTTATTATCAAGGAAGTGGATAGGCGGACCACGGGGTCTATCTAGCCCCAAAAGGATAGGTGGACCGCGGGGTCTACCTAACAAAATGCTGTTTTAGGATGTGAACCCTGGAATCAGCGTAGTGAAATAAGTAGATCTAGGTTTGACTAAGGATCGGTGGACCCCGGGGTCAACATAGTGAAATAAGTAGATCTCAGTTTATTTTATAGTAAGACTGGCGGAGCCCGTGGTCAACGTAGTGAAATTATAAGTAGATCTAGGTTTAAATTAATAAGGATTGGTGGACCCCTGGGTCAACGTAGTGAAATTATAAGTAGATCTAGGTTTAATTAAGGTTTGGTGGACCCTGGGGTCAACGTAGTGAAATAAGTACATGTAGATCTAGGTTTAATTTTAAGGATTGGTGGACCCAGGAGTCAACGTAGTGAAATAGGAAGGTTTAGGTTTAAGGTGGACCCCAGGGTCTACCTAACGAAATTTAATACTAGTTAGGTTTTAGAATAGGTGGACCATGCGGTCACCGTAGTAAAATAAGTAGGTTTAATCACAGTGTCCCGGGGGTCCACCAATTCTTAATTAAACCTTCTTATTCCTCTACGGCTATGGTGACTCCGGGGTCCACCAATCCTTTTAAAATTAAACCTACTTATTTCACTACGGTGACCCCGGGGTCTACTAATCTTTAAATAAATCTACTTACATGTATTTCACTACGGTGACCCCGGGGTCCACCTGTCCTAAAACCTAGTATTTTGCTAGGTAGACCCCGTTTTTAACAATATCCAGAAAATAACATAAAATGAGTATATAGATCTATATCTATACGCATTTTATTAAGTATATACTTAAAAATAAAAGACTGAGCAGAGCCTCACAATGTAAATTCTGTGCTCTACACGTAGAGAAAGTCTTAAGTTTGCGCAAAACAGATTTTAGAAAAAAAAGTTGATCTAATTATTCTAATAAAAGTAAAAGTGATTGTTATGGTGAGATTTGTTATTATTAATTCTGGAAATACAGATAGTTGCTGAATCTAAAATTAACTAGAACTGTGCAATTCGTTTTATTTCAATTCCAAAGCCCAAAGGCATAGCAATGAGTTAGATCTAGATCTAGCAGTTGTAGGCTCTCTGGCTGCTTCTAACATTTGTCTGCTACTACTGATTCTAGACAGGGAATCTAGATCTAGATCTAGCTATCACCTGCACTATTAAAGTCAAATATATGGTAAAATAAAAACAAAACTGTGAATCGCTTTGTCAGTCAGTACATCCCAATTGCCATAGCAGCACGTATTAATAGTTGAATAATTATACCGAAGCAACATGTTATCACAGTGTGCAGGGGAGAGCGGGGTGCCCGGGTCGCTGACCGGTCGATTCGGTGGTTCGGCTTTTGTAGATCTATGCATTTTTTACGGAAAGCCCTATTACTAGATCTATTAGTGTTGTGAAAACTTCAACCTCTACAGCTAAGGCGGCAAAAGATGTTGGAAAATAATAATACGTCCTGAAGTTTCATAATTTATACAGAATAATACAGCTAGTAGTTTTTATCTCATCGAGTTATAAAAATGGCCTTGTAACTTGTTTTCAGAAGCAAATTTTAATAGTTACAGTTCTACCGAATCGATTTTCACGCAAATTCAACCATTTTGATGACCATTTCTTTTCCTTTTAAAAAGATAAAGGCCTGTCGGATGTGGCAGTGCGATTAACACTAAGTTGTTTAGACCCATCAAAACACAAGGCTTCGTGGCCGATCACAAAGGTCTACGGGGCTTATCGAGGCCGATTCGCCCTGCCGCGTGCACGTTCACTAAACTGCCTACTAGATAGAATCTACTACCAAAGATTCTTCTCGATCTTTGCTACTACTACTACTACTACTACTACATCTACATGTAGGCTACTACTACGAGACAGTACGAGAGAGTGCCACCCAGGCAAAGATAGTGTAACTTTGACTCAGCCACGTTGTGTACACACTTTTTATACCCCAAATTTGACCCGGAAGTCCATTCGGAGGATTTGACCTTTTTACTTGACCAAAGTGTGCCAAAATGGTAGCCTAGATTTTGCCCCTCCATGAAGGAAAAATCTGGCCCTCATTCAAACCATTGAGATTGAGCAAAACTTTGCGTATCGTGCTTTGTTCTTACAATATTCATTATGATATATATAAGTTGTACACTGAGACAAAACTGTACTAAATGAGAAAGGTGCACCATTATGAAAGTGGAACGAACTCAGTTGCCTTAAAAGGGTGTCCCCTGGTAGTTTGAGCATGTGTGGCCTAAATAAGCTAAACCCCCCTCCCTTACCTTATTTAGGCCATATGTGGCCCAAATAAGCACTCCCTTCTTTATTACATTTTAAGTCAGGTTGAGAAACATGTGTTGTCCACCTGGTTGGTTGGAAGGTATCACGTTTTTCTTGTTCCTCTGTAATATAAACTGAATCACACTCGTAGACGTTTGACATCCCCCCCCCTCCCCCTTCCCGACATCCACCCCCCATTCACACCACATAGGTCATTGAAGAGGTGAGCTGCTTTGACCCTGCCTGTCATGGCAAACCCTAGCTGAATGGGACACTGTATCACAGCGGATGAATAGAGAGAAACTTGATTTAAAAACTTTTCATCACAACGGTACAATGTGTGGTGTATTGTTCACAGTCTGGTCAAATTATCTCTGTCTTTTACATGTATGAGATTGCTCACATCCCCCCCCCCCCCCCCCCCTCTCTCCCTCTCTCTCTCTCTCTCTCTCTCTCTCTCTCTCTCTCTCTCTCTCTCTCCCCCCCCATGTTTGACTTTTATGGAGGTTTGTTGGGTTTTTTTGTTCTGCTTTTTTTTTTTTGGGGGGGGGGAATCCAGTTGTTATCAATGTTTTACTTGCTGAATGCTTACCAGGCTATACTATATTTTTTTTTAGATGTTGCGTCTGAGGAATGAATGTCTAATTATAGCCATTTAGCAAACAGATCAGCGTTTATCCACCCATTCACTGACTTTGCTGCAACACATTCACTGAAAACAACATCAGGTTGAGGAAAAGAGTGGGTATCTTAGACAGCTGGATGTCTTTCTTCTTACTCAGTGTCATTATAATTTTTTAAACCAAAAAAAACAAGAGAGGGGACTGGGAACTGATCGTTTGTACAGATAATTGTCTTTTACTTTTATACAAATGACTGGTTAGAACAGGTTCGGCTCTATCATTTTTTTTTCTTCTAGTGACAACACAGTAGAGAAATGGCTTGTTTCAATTGGCTTTCAGTTGGGCAATTTTTCTGATTACGTTCCATAGAGGGAATAAGAAAATTGTCTCTGCTTGATGTTTTGG